AAATGTATGTAGATCCCCTTCAACAGCTTACCTACCACTGATGTCAGGCTCACTGGTCTGCAGATCCCTGGCTTTTCCTTGCAGCCTTTCTTAAATAATGGCACAACATTGGCCACCTTCCAGTCTTTGAGCACCTCACCCTGACTGTGAATGATACAATATCTCTGCTAGAGAGCCTGCAATTTTTCCCTAGCTTCCCCCAGTGTCCTGGGATATACTTGATCAGGTCCTATGGATTTATCTGCCTTTGTGTTTTAAGACCTCAAGCACCACCTCTTCTGTATTGTGGACTCATTTCAAGACATTACTGTATTTATTTTCTAGAGTTCGCAGAGTTCGCTAACCTCCATGTCTTTCTCCCCAGGAAATATTAATTTTGGATCTCGCCCATCTCCTGTGGTTTCAGACACGGATGGCCCCGTTGATCTTTACGGGCCCTATTCTGTCCTCCGTTACCCTTTTGCCCTTCATATACTTGTAGAATCTCTTTTGGATTCTCCTTAACCTTCTCTGCTTAAAGTTATCTCATGTTCCCTTTTTGCCCTTCTGATTTCCTTCTTATGTGTACTCCTCCACCCTGTATACCCCTTCAGGGATTCACTTGATCTAAGTTGTCTATATCTGACATATTCCTTCTCTCTCTTGGGTCTTAATATCTCTTGTCATCCAGTGTTGTCTACTTCTGCCAACCTCACCTTTCAAACTAACAGGAACATGTCATTCCTGAATTCTTGCTGTATCGCTTTTCAAAGCATCCCACGTGCCAGGCATCCCTTTACCTGCGAACAGCCTTTCCCAATCAGCTTTTGAAAGTTCCAGTCAAAATTGGCCTTGCCTCAATTTAGAACTTTAACTTGTGGACCAGGTGTATTTTTTTGTTCCATACCTGTTTTAAAACTAAGAGAATGATGTTCATAGGTCCCAAAGTACTCCCTCATTAACACCTCAGTCACTTGCCCTGCCTTATTTCCCAAGAGGAGGTTGAATTTTGCCCCTTCTCTACTGAGGCCATTTGCATATTGATTTGAGGAAGTTTTCTTGAACACACTTACATTCCTCCCCATCCTAGCCCTTAATATTATGGGAGTCCCAGTGTATATTTGGAAAGTTCCCTACTATTACAGCTCTATTATTCGTACAGCTATCTGCAATCTCTGTACATATTTGCTTCTCATGGAGGAGGGGGAGTGCGATAGTAAAATTTCATCAAAGTGATCACCCCCTTTATTAATTCTCAGTTTCACCCATTTAACTTCACTGGACAATCCCCCAAAAATATCCTAAGCACTGTTGTGATGTTTTCCCTGAACAAAAATGCCACTCCTCCTCCAGTCTCACCTCTTCTATCCTTCCTATTGCTTCTGTACCCTGGAACATTGAGTTGCCAGTCCTTTCCCTCCCTCAGGCATGTTTCTGTAATAGTTATGATATCCCAGTCCCAAGTTCCTGTCCATGCTCTGCGTTCGTCTGCCTTACCTGTCCGCTCTCTTGCATTGAAATGAATGCAGTTTAATTCAAGTCTTCCATCATTCTTTGCTGTGCTCTTGCCTGCCTTGTCTATTTAGCTTGCTCTGTTTAACTTCTGTACCAGCCTCAACATGTTGCCGCACTGCTGCTTAGGGTCCCACCCACCCCTGCCAGACTAGTTTAAACCCTCCCGACTAGTTTTAGCAAGTCTCCCTGCCAGAAAATTTCTGAAGAAGGGTCTAGGCCCGAAACGTCAGCCTTCCTGCTCCTCTGATGCTGCTTGGCCTGCTGTGTTCATCCAGCTCTACACCTTGTTATCTCAGATTCTCCAGCATCTGCAGTTCCTACTATCTCTGAAACAATTTTAACCACCCTCCTCCAGTTTAGGTGCAACCCGTTCCTTTTGAACAGGTCGCTTGTAACCTAGAAGAGATCCCAGTGATCGAAAAATCTGAATCAGTATTTCCTGCACCAGCTCCTCAGCCACACCATCTGCCCTGACCTATTCCTACTCTAATTAGCACATGGCACCAGGAGTAATCCAGAGATTACTACGCTTGAGGTCCTGCTTTTTAACCTTCTGCCTAAGTTCCTATATTCACTCTGCAGAATCTCATCCCTTTTTCTGCCTATGTCGTTGGTACAATGTGTACAACGACCTCCGGCTGCTCCCGCTCTCATTTCAGAATTTGCTGCAACTACTCAGAGATGTCCTTGACCCTGGCACCAGAGAGGCAACATACCATCCTGGAGTCTCAGTTACAGCTGCAGAAATGCCTGTCTGTGCCCCTGATGAGAGTGTCCTGTCACAATTGCTGACTTGGACTTTGCCATACCCTGTTTTACAGCAGAGCCAGTCATAGTACTAAAGACCTGGCTACTGCTGTTATTTTCCGCTGAGAGGCTATCCCCACAACAGTAGCTAAAATGGAATACTTGTTTGATGGGGGATAGTGCAGGAATCTCCTGTGGTTATCTGTTTACCTCTCCTGACGGTCACCTATGTGACCACCTCCCTGAAGTTACTATCTATCGCACTCTGCTTCCTGCATGCTCCTCAGTGCTTCCAGCTGATCCATGTGATCTGAGAGGAGTTGCAGCCAGACACACTTCTTGCAGACATAGTCGCTAGGGACAATCGACTGCTCCCTAATCCGCCACATCTGACAGGAGGTGCACACCACCCTACTGACTGCCATATTTGTTCCTTTAACGACTATCGGGCTGAGGGGTGAAAAAAAATTATCTTATTGCTGCTAGCCCTCCTCAACAATGCCTGGTCTTTGATTTTACCAGCAGCACCCCAACCACAAACCCTTGAGAAAATGGCAGGTCTTACTTCCCCTAACTCTTGCATTTAGCTCAACTCCCAGCATATGCACTCTCTTGCCCATTGCACTGTGTGCCAGGAGGACTTCAGGCCTTGCTTTTAAGACATGTAAGATCCTTGCATACAGTTTTAAACTATGATGTTTTCTTTTTAAGTGGGAGACAAGAATTTTTTTTTTGTTATTCTGTGGATTTTTTTGTCCCTGTAAAGCAGTGATTTATGTCTTGTACATAAAAAGCATGACAAATTCAACTGGGCCAATTACTGCCCCATCAGTCTACGCTCGATCATCAATAAAATGATGTTCGATCAAGCAGCACCTGCTCAGCAGTAACCTGCTCAGTGACGCCCAGTTTGGGTTCTGCCAGGGTCACTCAGCTCCTGACCTTGTTACAGCCTCAGTTCAAACATGGACATGAGATCTGAATTCCAGAGGTGAAGTAAGAATGACATCAAGGCTGCATTCAAACTAGTGTGGCATCAAGGAGCCCTAGCAAAATTTGAATCAATGGGTATCAGGGGGCAAACTCTCTGGTGGTTGCAATCATACCCGAGGAACAAAAACAGAAGTTGCTGGAAAAGCTCAGCAGGTCTGGCAGCATCGGCAAAGAAAAAAAAACAGTTAACATTTCCGGTCCGGTGACCCTTCCTCAGAAGTTCTGAGTTCTTTCAGTTTTTATCTGGCACATAGGAAGATGGTCGTGGTTTTTGGAGGTCAGTCATCTCTGCTCCCGGACATCTCTGCAGGAGTTCCTCAGGATATTGTCCTAGACGCAACCATCTTCAGCTGCTTCATCAATGACATTCCCTCCATCATCAGCTTTGAAATGGGGATATTGTGCAATCATTAGCAAATGTTCAGCACAATTTGCGACTCCTCAGGTACTGAAGCAGCCCATGTTCAAATGAAGCAAAATCTGGATGTTATCTAGGCTTGTGCTGACAAGTGGCAAGTAGGATTTGCACCACATAAATGCCAGTCTATGACCATCCCCAGTTAGAGACAATCTAACTATGGTCCTTTGATATTCAATGGCGTTACCATCACTGAATTCCCCACTGTCAGCATCCTGGGGGCTACCATTGACCAGAAGTTCAATTGGACTTACCACATTAACAGAATGGTCACAAGCAGGTCAGAGGCTAGGAATACTGTGGCAATTAACTCACCTCCTGATTACCCAAAGCGTGTCCACCATCTACATCACAAGTCAGGAGCGTGATGGAACACTCCTAACTTGCCCAGGTGTCTACAGCGCAAACAACACTCGAAGCTTGACACAATCCAGGACAAAGCAGTCCCACCTGATTGGCACCATGTCCACAAACATCCACTGCTTCACCACCAAAGCTCAGTAGCAACAGTGTGTATGACCCACAAGGTGCACTGCAGCAATGCAACCAAAGATCATCAGACGGCACCTTCCAAACCCACAACCACTTGCATCTAGAAGGACAAGGGCAGCAGATACATGGGAACACCTCCACCTTCAAATTCCCCTCCAAGCCACACACCACCCTGATTTGGCAAAATATTGCCATGCCTTCACTGTCGCCGGGTCCAAGTCCTGGAATTCCCTCCCTTATGCATTGTGGGCAACCCACAGCAAGTGGACTGCAGCGGTTCAAGAAGGCAGCTCATCACTATTTTCTCCTGGGTAACTAGGGGCAAGCAATAAATGTTGGCCAGCCAGCGATGCCCACATCTGACAAATGAATTTTTTAAAAAAAATGTTCTTTTAATGTATTCAAGTCTGAGTTCGATGTTTGCTCGATGAAGAAACCAAAAGTTGTTGGGAAGGGACAGGAAAATAAGTTGAGACTGCATACAGCTCAGTCATGATCTTATTGAATGTCTGACTAAACTCTCAATAGTCTACTCTGGCTTCGTATGGTCCTAAAAGTTTAAAAACTTGAGAAAGTGACAGTTGGTGATGGAGATTCGTCCCTCAGTATCTTAGAAAGCCACCTGAGGCAGTTTTTATGTTCTTGAATCTTTTTTTCCTTGTTCTGTTTCAAAATAATTTTTTTGTGTGAGTTCTGTGGCAGTCTTATCTCTTCACTATATGGTTATTAAGATGAAATGTAAATAACAACAGGCTGGAGGAAAACGGTCACCTTGAATTACAAGTTGAAGTAAGGTCAGTAATAATTTCCCATGTGTAATAACTGGTTTCCCTTTTCTACATATTTTATTTTTCAGAATAAGATAATTTTAGATCCTATGCACTTCAGCGAACAACGATATAGGCCATCTCTCGAGGAGAGGCTGGAGAGTATTATCAGTGGGGCTGCACTGATGGCTGACTCTTCATGCACACGTGATGACCGGCGCGAGAGAATTGTGGCTGAGTGTAATGCTGTACGACAGGCCCTTCAAGATCTTCTCACTGAATACATGAATAATGTAAGTTATATGAAACAAATTTGCTTTGGGCCTTATGATCCTTTGTGCCTGTATTCTTTACAAATTTGGAGCTAACCTCCACAAAAAATTTCATGAATTGATTTTCATGGTTTAAAATTATTGACAGTAATTTATTTGAAACAGAAATGAACATTACAACCAAAATTTTTCTCAGAGGCTTCAAGACAGATGTGGTTAAAAGGCTGATGCAGTAGTTAGTTGTTAAGGATGTGTTTTTTGAAAATAAAGTATTAATCTTTGTTCCAGCTGTGGTATACTGGAAGTGACAAATTTATCAAAATTGATTGCTGCTCCTCAAGGCTATTGTTCATCATTTTCATTGAATCACCATTTTATGGAACATGTCCTGAGTATTTTTGGTTAGTTAGTATCATAAGAAAACTGGATAATAAATCTCTGATCCACACAGCCGTAAGAATGCAATGCAACACAGAAGTTGTAATGTAATTGTTTACCGAATCGTTCTTGAAGAGAGTTTCCACCTACAATGGAATTCATTTGTTACATTATGATCTGACACTCAACCGTAAACTCTCTATGATCTCACAATAATGTCTGAGAAAATATGGCCCATCATTTCATTTGATTAATATGTATTCACTTATGTTTGCTGGTTTTAATTAACATTAATATCTTAAATGGAGACTCGTGGAAGTAACCACAGATTAAAAGAGTGGTATGTTATGCAAGTAAATTCTCCATTATTACATGCAAAACTTAAAATCATTTTTGTTACTGTATATCTGTTGAGATGGTTTATGCATTATTACTTTAAGTTGTAATATTTGTTTGGAAGATATTAAGGATTCAGTAAGAATGGTTTTTCCAAATGGGATATGATGATGCAGTAACTTTACTGATTTTCTTCGACGTTCTTGTACTTAATAAGTAACACAGCTGCTATCTGTTCTTTATAGCGGAATCAGACTCATTTGTACAAAGAAAAGTGAATTGGAATATATTTCTAGCCATGCTATATCTATTCTTGTATGTGATTGTGGGTTTAGCACAACACTGACTTTCTGTATAAATCAAAACAATCTGATTTTGGCAGAATTTCCCCGTTCTCCTTGAAAGTCTTTAAAATATTTCAACTTCTCCATTCATACTTCTACTGGTCCTTCTTTCTTTAGCTATCTTGTTGGAGATCTATTTTGGTTTCCTATTACTCAGATGATCTGCTGCTATCATTTTCAATTATTTAGCCTATTTAGCTGGTTTGCCAGTAGAAACTAGACAAGAAATATTTCCTTCATCTTTGCAACTAGTTGCAGTTGGGATCATTGCATTTTAAATCTTTGCCATGTTTTATCTGTTGTGCGCGCCCCAATGGAATATTGAAGATACTGTTTCCTGGTTGCGTTTTCAAAAAGATATAACTTTTTTAAAAATCAAAACAGATTCACATTTTTATTAGGCAAGGGTATCAAGGCATATGGAGAAGAGAAATATGCAGAAAAGTATTCACATCCAAATCAGCAGTGATCTGATTGAATAGAGGAAGAAGCTGGAAGGGCTGAATAACCTTGTGCTGCTCTTGTGTTCCTGTATATCTTGCTGCTTAAATAATACTTGCAGAAGAGAAATGGGCCATCACACAGACCCAATCAGCATATTTAGCAATACAGGATGTGATCTATATTTAACTAACACATGAAGGGTGCTAACAATTAAAATCATTGACAGATCATTTTCTGGAAAAGTAACAAGGAATTTAGTTGGTTTCCTGTTTGTAAGTGGTACAGCAAATACTGGTGAGTAGGTGAAATGCCAGAAATTTCTGAAAAATTACTGCTGTAGGCCTGTGAAAATAGCATGTTACACTCAACTGCATAGTGAGTTTCAAGAAATTGCTGCCTTTGGATAAGGAACATGAAATAAGTTTGCAGTAAGAACTTAAGGGTTATGCTTAACAGCGTGGAATCCTTTAATTGTATTACTCCTGTTACAATGCCACTTATTCTGTTTCTGGGCCAGAGTGATTAATTGAAGTGTAGAATCCCATTCCTAAGGGAATGTTAAGATATCAGCCTAAATTTTATTGCTGTGGTATGTTGACATTACCATGAGCTTCCAAAGTTAAAATAGCAATAAGCAATAGCAATGTTTGTTTAAATACACATTCATTATAACTTCATTTTTTTCATTAACAGCTATCTAACTTTGTGAAATGATTGTTTCATGAAGAAAAGTACTGCCAGCCTTTATGTACAGGAATGACTGTTATGTATTGTTAATGGTTTTGAAACCTTTCAACATTTGTTGTCCTGAATTGCTTACAAAGTTTGAAGATTTTTTGAAAATATTTGTAATCCACCCACCGTCTCCTTTAATGTAGGAAGACTAACATTCTTCAATCACTTTCCTTTTAACTGAGGACCAGAGAAATCTATACATTATTAAAATTTAAAATGGGGAGAAACTGCTTCAGCACCTTGTGCCTGCTCCATCATTTAGTACGATCATGGCTGATCTCATCTCGGCTTCCCCTTCACTGCCTGCCCCCTGTAACATTTCAACCCTTAATTAAAATTTTATCTGTTTCCAACTTTAATTTACTCAATGCGCTTGGCATCTACCGTTCTTTAGGGTAGTGAATTCCACAGATTCATGACCTTTGAGGGAAACGATTTCTCCTCATTTCTGTTTGAAATCTGGCTCCTCTTTATCCCACACCAATGACCTTATTATAGATTGCCCCACAAGAGGAAATAACCTCTTTATGCATCTTTATATAACTTAATTTAATCTCCTCCCAATCTTCTAAGCTCTGGAGAATGTAGGCCTAAACTGTTCAATCTCTTTATAAGACGAACCCCTCACCTCAGGAAACAATCTAGTGAATCTCCTCTGAACTGCCGTTAATGCAACTACATCCCTCTTCAAATAAGGGGACCAAAACTGTACACCATACTCCATGTGCAGTCTCACTAATACCTTGTACAATTGTAGCAACACTTCTTTTATACTCTATTCCTTTCAGAATGCCAACATTCCATTTGCCTACCTTTTGACCTGCTTTACCTCCATACAAGTTTTATGCACTTCATACACAAGGGCACCCTGATCCCTCTGCACCAAAGCACACTGAAGTTGCTCTCTATTTAGTTAGTAAGTTGCCTTTTTATTTTTCCGACCAAAATGGATAGGCTCATTTATCCTTGTTAAATTTCAACAGCTAAATTTTGGCCTGATCACCTAAACTATCCACATCAACTAGTAAATTTCTTGTTTCTTTATTGCAACTCACTGTCCAGCCTGTTTTAGTGTCATTTGTAAATTTGGCGAGTGTACCTTCTATCCAAGTCATTTAATATAGATTGTAAACAGTTGAAACCTGGATCAAACCTTGTGAATTCTCTTTCCAAACTAATAAATTACCCCAACCCAATGTGATCTTACCTTGTATAGTAAGCATTCATGTGGTGCCTCATTAAGTTTGAATAATTTTAAAACCGGTGGACAGATTCAAGTTAGGCAGGGCTGTTGAGGGTTCTGGTGGTTGATGGGAATGTGGAATTTGAAATGCAAGCAGATCAGCGATGATCTTATTGAATTGCCAAGTAGGTTTGAGGAGCTGAATGAGCTCCTTCTGCTCCTATTCTGTATATTCATATTGCTTTCATCATGCCATCAGCATCTGTGCTTAAGCTGCCAAGTTCCTTTACCAATTCTTTGTTTCTCCGCTTCTTTCATTTTCATTCCATTTCATTTTCTCCCTTAAAATGCTACTCAAAACCTATTTTATCACGGGAGTTTCTTTTGCTATTATTCATTCAAATCCCTATTAATTGCAGTGATTAATATTCCATCTTTATTTCTCTACAAATTTTCAATTTTGACTTCATACTATTTCGTTGTTACAGTTATTCTTATTTATGTCATGACTGTCGTTCTGAAATATGACAACATTTTTCCAGGTGAAATAAGTTCTGGTTTTTCTGAGCAAGTTGTCTGTTTTTTTTTATACACTGTTTCCTTTGATTACTCTGGCTCATTGTTGTAAGTGGGACCTTGCTATATAGAAATTCTCTGCCTTTTATCTACATAATGGCAATGACTGTTTTAACTAATGCTTTGGGAGAACCTGATGTCATGAAAGATGTCTTAAGTACAAGTTGTTGCAGTCAGTTAGCTCCATACTGCTCACCCAATCTCAGTACTTGATCGTTTCACAATATTTGGTAAATCCATGGGAATTGTGCTTTTCAGCAAAGAAAACATGAAAATTACAATAGAGTTTGGTGATTGTATTACTGCAATCTGCTCCCTATATTTGAACAGTTTTTTGAGAGTTTCTTTATCCTTTGAATGCAGTCAAAGTCTTTTGTGCGAAACTAATCAAATATATAATCGGATAGATTTTCCAAACATATCTAAGATGAGCACTTGATCTAAGAAATTTGAAGAATACTTCTCTGCTTTTGTCATATTGCTAGATATTTGCTTTGAATTTTACAATTCATCAATTGCCTAATGATTTTTGATGCATGCGGGAGGTGCGAGCAATTTGCACTATTATGTCCACCAAATAGTTTCAATACAGTTGCTCAAAACAGAAATTTAGGAGATTCACAAAATACAAACTATTCTTTAGGTTACATATTTCTGCCCAACCAACCTCTGCTTATGGCAATGCAGAGTAGGGAAATACTACTTTAATGATGCTACAAGGTAAAGTGTATTTTCAAAACTTCTCCTTTTCCAATTCAGCCTTTGCCACTTTTTAAAAAAAATTATGAAGAATGGATAATCAGTGACAAGTATTTCAGTCAGACGTTGATGTCTGAACCACAGTAAAATATGGCATAATGTCAGAAGAAGGGTAAATTCTAATTAATGGGGTGTGTGCAACAAAAATTACAACTTTAAGCGTAGTCACTTAGTTTAGTGTATTTGATCCCATTGATAGATGACAAAATGAATGGTGAGCTTGAAACTCTGAATGGAAAACCATAAGGACCGATTATTCTGCAAATATGCAAGCTTTATGTTAATTTTTAAAATAAAACCTTATCTCTTGAAAAGGATGTTGCTTACGAAATTTCTTCGTCAAATTGGGAAAAGAAGTGCTGTTTGATTTTAGCATGCTATATTTAAGTTGTGCTGGGTTAATCAATGTGGTGGTATGCCGTAAATAGACTTCAGATGACAACATGGTGTCCACATCTGTTCTAATCATTGTGATTAGTGATGGGTGACACCTAGCTGACTCCCATAGAAGTGCTGAATCATCAAATTGCATTTATTTAGTTAGCTGAACTCAGACAGTCCAGTTCATCAAATGATTTGTATGGTGTACATCACTGACCTGTGGAGGAACCACTTGAGAAGCAGTCTCCATTAAAGCTGTAAATGTTTCAAATGGCTTTGTAGTACAAATGGATTTGCTTATGTTTATTAAGCCAGTGTATGGTCTAACTTGGTAAAATGGTATTATTTAGTATGTTGTGTGAAACTGCAATCAAAGAGTATCTCTACTGTGGCTGCAATCTTTAAAGACTTTGAACATAAGCAAGTTTGTAGTTTACAAAATATTTTTTCTGTTAAGATATTTCATGCAGAGGTTAAAGCACTCTGTTGTGCTGAGTTTGGAGGTTTATTTAATACGAGTTAGTGCATAATAAGGAGTTTTTGGTGACCGGGAGAGCATTTTAGCATATTCTATGTCGAAGATGATCTGGTACAGATTTTTTCGAATATTGCAGGGAGTGTATTTGCCAGAAGTGGATGTATATAAAGTCCTTTTTAGGAATTTGGAAATTTAGTTTTTGAAGAATCTAATTGAACACATAGGACCACAAAATGCTCCAGGAATAAATGGATAAATTATTCTACGTTTAATGTTTCGTTAGGATGTTAATGTATGTCTTTGTCGGCTTTATACTTGTTAAATATTGTGAAATGAGCTGAATAGTCGTGTAATTTAACATCTCTTTAAAGCCAGTC